AGAATGGGTGATGACTCGTGTGAAGCGTGGAGAGATGGAGGCACGTGGGAGTGATCTATTTCTGAGTGCAATGTGTGGTGCGATTATAATGCCGGAATATCGTATAGTTTGGAATGTTAGGAGGAGGTGGGATATACCATAACTGTTGTCCAGAGGGCTGAGGAAGGGTTGTTGAGGTGGTTCGGACATGCTAGAGAGAATGGAGGGAAACAGATGACTTCAAGGTGTGTATCAGTCTGTAGTGGAAGGAAGGCGGGGTAGGGGTCGGCCTACGGAAAGGTTGGAGGGAGGGGTATAGGAGGTTTTGTGTGCGAGGGGCTTGGACTTCCAGCAGGCATGCTTGAGCGTTGTTTGAATTGGAAGTAATGGAGACTAATGGTTTTTCATACTTGACGTGCTGTTGGAGTGTGAGCCAAAGTAACATTTTGAGGGGTTCAGGAGAATACCGGGCAGGCGGACTTGGTCCTGGAGATGGGAAGTACAGTGCCTGCACTCTGAAGGAGGGGTGTTAATGTTGCAGTTTAAAAACTGTAGTGTAAAGCACCCTTCTGGCAAGACAGTGATGGAGTGGATGATGGCGAAAGTTTTTCTTTTTCGGGCCACCCTGCCTTGGTGGGAATCGCCAGTGTGATAATAAAAAAAAAAAATTGCGCACTATAAAAAAAAATCCTGCAGCAAGCAGTGCATAATGAGAAAAAAAAATTGTGACCATGTTTTTGGTTTAATAAGCGACTTCGTGGTGTATTTTCATATAGTATTTATGGTTGTACAGTGATACCCCGAGTTTCGGCCATAAGTCGTTCCAGAAGGCTGTTTGAATGCCATTACCGAACGAATTTGTTCCCATAAGTAATACTGTAAATTAGATTAGTCTGTTTCAGACCCCCAAAACTACACTTACAAAAGCACTTACAATAATACACTTACATAACTGTTCGAGTTGGGAACTGTACGAAACTCAGGGTACCACTGTATTCTTGTTTTCATGGTCTCACTTGATAGAATAGAAGATATATTACAGAAATAAAGGTGATTTTGAATGGTTTACCAAATAAAAGTAGCTTGCAATTGAGCTCAAAGGAGCAGAAATGCTCGACTTGTGACGATATTCAAGAGTAAACATGTCACGTCACGCATCCATTACGCATTAACTGGTGGGTCCAATATGCATTCACAAATGTGCTGATGTTATTTATGCAATTATTACAAATTATGCAGTAGTCTGAATAGCAGTAAATCATCCTTGTTTTGTGTGAATGAAAATTCAAAATGAAAATGAAGCATAACATAAGAGGGGACTGGAGACATGACTAATGAACAGAGAATATGTTATTTTAGTGCCAGGAATGTCTGCATTGTTTATTCTGGACCCTATTTTGAAATTGACCATTCTTGAATTTTGTGTAAAATTCGCCAAATTAGTAATTTCTGATCACTTTTTTTGTGTAGTTGAAATAGGTAAAATGGCAGGTAATCTATGTACTCAGTCAGTAGCATAAAATATTTCTAACGAATTAGCTACGCAGTTTGGATTGGTGGAAACAAATGAAATTGTTCCCAAATAAGCTCAAAAGTGGGGCAAAATCGCCATTGTGTGATTATACTGAGAATGCTAAACTTTGTGTAGCATAATTTATCAAGTTTTCATAAATTTCTAAACTCTTAGTTTCATTACCTTTGGAAAACGATGATATTTCATTTCATAAGAAAAAAATATTTTGTTTTGTTTGAAAATTCTTCCAACACTGTCTGCACGTTTGCGAGCAGGGGTTCGACATTCAAGGGTTAAAAAAATTTGGAATTTATTTTATAAATATGGTTGAAATTGGCTGAAAGGTATTTTATTCGAGAAACTAAACCTTTCTATAATTTTTTGTAGTATGTAATGTAAGTATACTTGAACATCAGTATTTTATACTTGCCTGTGACCACATCCTTTTTTTTTTGTTTTGTTTTATACTTGTACTGATGTTTACAAAATGCTAGAAAATTGACAGTTATGTAATTTTATATAGAGGTAATAGGTTAGTAGAGAGCAACTGCCCAGGGACGTACTACATTCTGCCAAGTGAGTGCAAAACAGAAACCTGTAATTATTTTACATGATGGTAGGATTGCTGGTGTGCTTTTTCTGTTTTCATAAACATGCAAGATTGATTTCAGGGTACCGTTCTTGCTGCTTCTACTTACACTTAGGTTCACACTACACATACATGTATGAGTATATACTTATATACACACCCCTCTGGGTTTTCTTCTATTTTTTTAACTAGTTCTTGTTCTTGTCTATTTTCCACTTATCTCCATGGGGATGTGGAACAGAATTCTGCTCTGTAAGCCATGCGTTGTTGTAAGAGGTGACTAAAATGCACGGGAGCAAGAGGGCTAGTAACCCTTCTCTGTATTTATTTCTAAGACTATAAGGAGAAGACTTTCATTTTTCCTTTTGGGCCACCCTGCTTGGTGGGATACAGCCAGTTGGTTGAAAGAAAGAAGTAATTTTATATTCCAGTTTTATATTATATATCTTAAACCTGATTATTATTTATCTGAACCTTTTTTTGGTCATTTAGAGAGAATGGATCAAAGTAGAATGACATGGAAAGCATATAAAATCTATAGGGGAAGGAAGGTGATGTAGGCGTCATCCTCGAAGGGTTGAGAGAGGGGGTTAAAGGAGGTTTTGTGGGCCAATGAGCTTGGACTTCTGCTTGCGTGCGTGAGCGTGTTAGATAGGAGGGAATGGGAGATGAATGGTACTTGGGACCTTACGATCCGTTGGAGTGTGAGCAGTGTAATATTTAGTGAGGGGAGAGATTTCGGGGGGAAACCGGTTATTTTCATAATATTCGGACTTGGGGGGAGTCCTGGAAATGGAAGGACAAAGCCTGCACTTTAAAGGAGGAGTTTGGGATTTGGCAGTTTGGTAGGGATATGTTGTACGTACTTGATTCGTATATGCTTCTAAACTGTGTATTTGAGCACCTCTGCAAAAAACAGTGATTATGTGAGAGGTGTGGTGGTGAAAGTGTTGAATGATGATGAAAAGCATTTTCTTTTTTGGGGTTTATAATTTTCTTACTTTTTTGAGTCACCCTGCCTCGGTGGGAGACGGCCGACTTGTTGAAAAAAAAAAAAAACTGATCTGATGTCAAAGTGGATTTCTTGCATTCATTTTTATGCTGTCATTTGGGGAAAATGAACCTGAGTCCATGTTGTATGCCTATAACCATTAGAACACTCCATGGGATACGGTGTTAATTCACTTTATTCATCCCAGATAGCCTATGGATGAATCTGTTATTGTTAAGGGGAGATCTAGTCTCACGCTTCATGTACTGTGAACAAACTCCCACACAACTTGTCACCATGTGTTCTTGTCCAATACTTGGTGATCTTTTTGTCACCCAATATCCTAAAGAGTTGTTTTTAGAAAGTTGCTCTTAAGTAGTTAGTGGACCCTCAGTTATCTGCCGTAATAAGAACATAAGAATGGGAGGGTAGACAATGCAGAAGGCTAATGGCCCATGCGCCAGGCAGTCCTTATCAAAAACGACCTCTACTGAAGCTCCCAAGAAATAACTCCCGTACCCAATGACACCAATCAAACCCATCCCCCCGTTCTATTGAAGAACGTCAGTAAGTTTGTCAGGCAGGAACGACCTCAAGTTAAAAAACTCAAGGTAAAAACGGTTAGTGGGTGTGGAAGTCGTCGTAGGTATCGTTCCAGATGCTTGGCCTAAAACCTGAATGCCGAGAACCGAAATAATATTTTCAATAAGTATAAATGTAATTACAATTATCCGTTCCAGACAAAAATATTTCACAATATTAATTTTTTAAAACAATAAATTGGTCATACTTTATTGTAAAGACTAATTCTGGCTTCTGGAATGCCTGCTACACTTCCTGCATGTGTGCTACACTCCCTGTATGCCTGCTACACTCCTTGCATGCCTGTTACACTCCCTGCATGCCTGCCTACACTCCCTGCTGGGCCCTGTACACTCCCTGCATGCCTTCTACTACTTCATGCTTAAATTCCATGGTGTTTCTCACTTTACCACAGGAACTTTACGAGGAACTTTTTTTGGAGCCATGGTTACTTATTTCGCAGTTGCATTGAAAAAAACCCATAAAAAACAATGGAAAACAAGCGAATGTTTGGGTGTAATGAGACAGAAGCTTCCTCACACTCAGAATAGACACAGGCAAACTGATGCGCAGCGGCCCAGCCGGGAGGGGACGGATGCATCCCAACGGGCCAATCACTGAATTAAATGGCTGATAACCGGGTGACGAAAAACCGGAGATCACCGAGTGGCTATTATTGATGTAGGCCAATAACTGGGGGTCACTGTACTTCTGTTTTTGTTATGTTTTTTTTTTATCTAATTATCAGAACTTTTTGTAATCATATTTTTTTAGTATTTACTTTTTAAATTTTTTTTTTTTTGAGTATGGTACTTGAGTACTTTACTATTTATAGGTTTGCAAACATCCATATACAATTTTTTGCTATAATTATATTATCATACTTTAGAGTTGACAGAGCACTGTACTTCTCACCTCGCAAAACTCAATAACTGGGTAGCCTGATGTGAACTCTTGGAGATGGGAAGTACAATGTCTGCACACCACTTGATGGGTCGGACTGGCCACAGTAAAACCTCAAGGGTCATTTGAATTGTCGAAATCTGTACACTTATGGCTGGGGGGGGACATGTATTGAATTGAACATTGATGAATCTAATTTCTTCATTGCACCTTGATGAGAAATATCTGTTGCAGTAAAAAAATAATAAATATTTTTTCAGGTACTGTGCAAGCATTTGACTTAATTCGTTATCTAAACTTCAAGACACTGACCTCTTCTCTTCTGGCTGGACACTTTTGGCTGGACATGTATTGACTGAACATTGATGAATCCATTTCTTCAGCAGATCACTGCACCTTGGTGACAAATATCTGATGTAGTAAAAAAATAAATATTTTTTCAGGTACTGTGCGAGCATTTGACTTAATTCGTTACTCGAAACTTCCGACATGTAACCTCTCCTCGGCCAACAACACAGTTTTCGTGTGTTAGCGTGGACAGCAGCGGAGAGTTGGTAACTGCAGGGGGTCAAGACAGTCATGACATTTACCTGTGGTCTTTGCAGTCAGGAAGATTATTAGAGGTAATTAATGCAAACATTGTTTGTATCATTAATATATTTTACTTATAAGAGTTTATAAAAAGTAGTCCACAAAGCAGGTGTTTGAGTGGTTAAGTGTCACAAAAAAAGGTGTTTGAGGGTTAGAAAAAAATTTTTTTTTTTTACAAAAATCACATAGCGCGCAGGTGTTTGAGGGTTGTTAAAGTAGTCACAAAGCAGGTGTTTGAGGGTTAAAGTAGTCACAAAACAGGTGTTTGAGGGTTAGTCACAAAGCAGGTGTTTGAAGATTGTTAAAGTAGTCACAAAGCAGGTGTTTGAGGGTTAAAGTAGTCACAAAACAGGTGTTTGAGGGTTTGTCACAAAGCAGGTGTTTGAAGATTGTTAAAGTAGTCACAAAGCAGGTGTTAAGTATATACACACTGAAGGTATACCTCTTAGTGTATACATGTTGAAAGTTTACTTTCATCTGAATTTTAGAGATTATTGTATCTTTGACTGGTGGTGTACAGCTTACCTGCATCGCTTATAATCTCATGTCAATCATCAATCAATTCAATTTTTATTTCCTGCAAGATTACATTGAGATTATGAAATTACAAAAATGAGTTGCAGTGCAAAGAGCCACTATCATGCCTAGGCATTTTGGGCAGACTTAATTTAATGGCTTACAGGCTACTTAATACTAAAGAAATTGAGCATCGTTTAATTTGTTCTCTGGTTTATTTATAGTGCACAGTACGTTTAATAAATTACAATTTGTTTCAATAGTAAATATTGAAATTATTTTTATGGGATGTAATATTGTGACGTGTTGTAAGTCAGTTGATCTTGTATGAGAATGCTACAGTTGGGTGCTAAAGGCAGTAATATTTTGGGGTTAGATGTTTTATACTACAAGGTAGATAGTCTAACCTAGTAATGCAACCAAGCCAAATCCAGAGCAGGTTGTGTTCTTGAGTGAATATATTTGCTCAGGTAGAAATCTATGCTCAATCATTACTTGCATAAAGTTCCATTTTGATAAATTTTTGAAGTGTTTATTATTGCTTAGAGTTTTGCTTTTCTCTTAAATAGTAATCTCTTACTTAGTCTTTATCTGCGATTACTGTGGAACCTCAGTTTTTTGATTTAATCCCTTCGAAAAAGTCTGACAATCAACGGAATCGTCGAAAAATGAAGCTATATTTTCCGATATAAGAAATAATGTAAATCCAATTAATCCGTTCCAGACACCCAAAAATATTAACAAAAATACATTTTATAGAGAATATAGTTTTACATACAGACTAGGGCATACAAAAACCGAGGTTCTTCTGTATTGTGTCTTAATGTTTATCTAAGCAGCTTGTTTAGGCTTTTCTTTATATATATTATTGAACATGGTCCTTTTTTTTTTTTAACCTGGCCATCTCCCGCTGGTATAGGGTGACCCAACAAAGAGTCTGTAGTAATTGCCTCAATATTTGAAGGGAAAGTGTCAACAAATCTTTCAAATCATTACCCGTGTGTCTATTAAGATATCTCTTACTGTAGTTATTGTGCTTGCTAGCAACTGGAGGATGTGTGTGTTGTCTTACACTACCTGCATCACACTTCAAAAGAGATATCATAGTGTACTTTTTGCATTGCAACATTACAGAATTAATGATAGCATCTGTATAATAATATACAGTGGACCCCCGCTTAACGATCACCTCCAAATGCGACCAATTATGTAAGTGTATTTATGTAAGTGCGTTTGTACGTGTATGTTTGGGGGTCTGAAATGGACTAATCTACTTCACAATATTCCTTATGGGAAAAAATTCGGTCAGTACTGGCACCTGAACATACTAATGGTAATGAAAAAAGTTCGTTTTACCGGGGAGGCGGTCCACTGTACTTACTCGTAACCATTCCAGTGCAGTACTATATTAGGAAGAATTTGAAGAATTGATGTGTTCCCTTTTACTGAGACACTTGAACCTCGGTAACCATCTTTTGAATTGAGCAACTAAGATTATGAGGTATAACTTAATAATACCATGTTTATCAGGAAACAAAGATCTGTAATTACTACGTTACAGCAACCAAGAGCTCCTGATATTTTTTTTAAACACACCTGCATCTTTCATTGAGGTAGGGTGAGATACAAAAAATAGGAAAATTCCAATTCTCCATCATTAGCTTCAACTATTGTATTGTCTGAAGTTTTGCTGGACCTCACAGTTCAGATGTTGCCCTCTGAACCTGCAACATCCTCACCCCTTCTTTTGACGTGCAGGATTGTTTTCCTACTTATGACTCAAGTCAATCTAACCTGTTTAACTGAATTTCTTCATAAATGTTACCTTGTTTTCACTCCATCAACAGGTCAAGTCATAAAAACCACCTGCCTCCATTCACTCAATTTAATGCACTCACACAAGCCTGTTGGACGTTTAAGCCCCTAATGCTCAAAACTTCGTTTACCTATTCCTTCCAACCTTTCCTGGAATGACTCCCTACCTCTCTCTCTATCTACTTTGCTTGCTTGCTCTATGTATATTTTGCAAAAATACCACCTTTATGAATATGATAGAATGTCACCTTATTGTGGAGCTATTAATAATTTTGTTTTACTGCACTAGAGATTAATTTTCAAAACTATTTTGAAACCTTTAAATATCATTGGCAACTTTGCATCACAAACCAATGCATTCCATGATTCAGTATTTGTAGTTCCACAATGCTTTTGCATCATCAGATGTATCTTGCATGTTTTTGAATATTATTCTTTCAGTAAATATTCTCATAGAATCAGGAGGAATACTTTTTATGTTTTAACATTCAGGTGCTAAGTGGTCACGAGGGTCCAGTGGTAAGTGTGCAGTTTTCCAGCCAGCCGGGTAGTGGTGCACCCTTGATGGCATCAACAGCCTGGGATGCCACTCTCAAAGTTTGGGATGCAATTGACTCTACTACAGCCAAAGAAACTATTGCACTATCATCAGATGGTAAGATTTTTATGACATCTATTAACATCTGTTGTAAATGTTAATGATTCTTAGGATATTTATCCTGTGTATTTCCATTAAGAAATACACAGATTAGTAAAAGTAAATGTATATACTTGATGTAAGCTAAATTTAGAAAGATTTACCTGTTATTTTAAATGTTCATGAAATGGAAAGAAAATATCAATAATCCTGCCAGATTGCAAACCACTTGGTAGGTTTCCATTGCACACTCACGAAGATGGCAGTACCTCCCTGCATGGTTGCTCTCAACCAACCTATTATTATTTTTTATTACTAAGGATCCAATGCAGCAATGAGGTTAAATATCAGGAAATTCTTAAACTTGTTTGATAGAATTAACTGAACCAGAGTGTGAAATGCTTTAAGAAATATTGTTGCTAGTGTTTGTGATATGAAAGTGACATGAGATTACAAATTTTGAGAATATGTAACATTACTAGCATTCTTCCACCTTGTATTTTGGCACTTGAACTACTTTGTTTCACTTATGAAAATAAGTACAAATATGGGAGTGTTAGGCTTAATTACTTATTAATGTTCATTAGGCCTGTGCGTATGTATTCGCCCTGATGGAAAGCAGCTCGCAGTAGCAACTTTGGATGGCCAGATTACAATGTTCAATCCGTTAACTGGCCAGCAAGAAGCCAACATCATTGGCAGAAATGACCTGGGAGCAGGAAAGGCTGATGCTGATAAAATATCTGCAAAGAAGAACCTTCAGTCAAAGTAAGAATTGTTAAGTTCACCGCACAAATGTTAAGATACAATAATAATAGTATTAATAATAATAATAATAATATTTTATTATGACTTGATACATAGTTGTACAAAGGAATATAATAGTTGAGTGTACATGCCAAAAGCCCCTTGTATGCAGAGAATTTCGAGCAGACTTAAAATTAACTAAAGATTAATTAGGCTATAGCAGAGTAAATGGTCATTAGGTGAATTACCGGTCTAGTAGAGTAGTTTAGTAGTGAATAATTACAGTTTTGAATTATTTTATAAAAATTACAGTATTACAATAGAACAATTTAAACAATTTACAGTATGAAGTACAATTGAGTATTTAAAATGGTGAAATTTGAACATTATAATTTTGAAGCATTAAAGTTTTACAATAGAACAATTTAAACAATTTACAATATGAAGTATTATAGTTTAGTATTCAAAACAATGAACACCCTGTTTTTGAAGTAATGAGTACATGTTTGAGCAATCTTCAGCACAATATTCAGTATTGAAATTGAGACATCATTGGTACTCTTTTGTGTTGGTTTTGAGTAAATGGTAGGTATTAAGTACAGCTTGTCTGGTTAATTTGGGTGAAGAGGAGATTTCTAAGTAAGGCCTTAAATTGATTTGCAGGTAGGAGCCCTTTAATGTGTTATGGTAATGAATTCCAGATCTTTGGGCCCTTTACATGCATAGCATTTTTGCACAGAGCGAGATGGACACGAGGATATCGAAGAGTAATTTGTTTCTTGTATTATGGTTGTGTGTTCTGTTGTAGTTAGCTAGTAGGAGTTGGAGAGGAGGGTTTATATTTGAGCCTAGTGTTCTGTGCATGTAGTAGGTACAATAATAAGTGTGGATGTTTTGTATATTGTAAGAGGCAACTAAAATGCCAGGAGCAAGGGGCTAGTAACCCCTTCTCCTGTATATATTACTAAATGTAAAAGGAGAAACTTTCGTTTTTCCTTTTGGGCCACCCCGCCTCAGTGGGATACGGCCGGTGTGTTGAAAGAAAGAAAGTTTTGTATATTGAGTAAGTTAAGACTTGAAAAGTGAGGGAGTATGCTGTCTATTGCAGGAGTGTGTAATCAATCGCACTGCAGTTTTTTGTTGGGTTATTAAAGGTTTAAGGTGATTTGCTGTGGATGAGCCCCATGCACAAATACCATAGGCGAGGTAAGGGTAGATGAGTTAATGGTATATTACACAAAGAGCTGATGGGTTACATGGTACCATAATCTTGAGTTAATAGCCTATTGTTTTGGAGGCTTTTCTTGGATATTTGCTGTATGTGAGTTTGGAATTTTGAGATTGCCAGTCTAGGTGGAATCTTAAAATTTGTTGTCCCCTCTGTGTGTCTACATATATATGGTAATAGGGAATTGTCATTTCTCTCTCTCTTTCTCACAACTTTACTGACTTTCCTCCTGGCTTTCTCTTGGAGGGGTTGTTTAGATTTAAAGTAACCCAGTTATACCTTTCCCAAATATTTCTCTGTTTTCTTAATGTTAAAGGGAACTTAGATGCTGTTTTTCAGATATATGCAGCCTTGCTCACCTGAATGATGGAGTTCTGTTCCTATGGCGCGTTGTAAATGAATTCGTTGCTAAGCGTAGGGATACTCTAATGGTAGTGTGATATTGTGTCAACCATTCTTTTATATTGTTTTAATGTCACCTTTGCACCATTTATACATTTCTGGTATATTTTTAAGTGTTTATATAGTAGTGTACTGTATACTGAAATACACAGAATAGAGGAAATCCGTTTAATTTAAATTATTTTGATATAAATTTCTGCTCAGAGTGCCCGTTCGTAAGTCTGAGGTGTCGTGTTAAAACAAGTGAGTCGCGATGTGAGGAGTGGCTGTATATAAGTCATGAGTGTATACCGAAACTTGTTAATTCTTTATGTGATGGTAGGATTGCTGGTGCCGTCTTTCTTGTCTCATAAACATGCAAGATTTCAGGTACATCTTGCTAACTTCTTACTTACACATAGGTCACCACTGCACATGCATATATATATATATTATATATATATATATAAACAACACACACACACACACCCTACACACACACACACACACACACACACACAACAACACCATTCCCAACACACCTACACTCCAACCCACAGCCTCCACCCCTAACACCAAGGGTATAGAACCCCACAGGTATGCATCCTCAGGTATCCACCCTCACGGCCCCCAAACCACAGTGTGGAAAGGAAACTGAAAGGTTTGGTACACAAACGTGACGGGAATAACAAATAAGTGGGGAGAGTGGCAAAGAAGTGTCAAGGAAGCATCCCGGACATCATAGCTATCACAGAAACCAAGCTTACAGGTATGATAAACAGAGCCATCTTTACAACGGGATACCAAATCCTGAGGAAAGACAGAGGGAACAGGGGGGAGTGGAGGAGTGGGCGTTGCTGATCAAAAAGCGCTGGAATTTTGATTGAGTGGGAGAGTAGAAGATTGGGAGGAGGAAAGTGATTCCATAGTAGGGAACACTTCACTCTGGAGGGTCCCAAGGTGGTAATAGCAGTGATGTATAACCCACCACGAACAGAGGAAGTCCAAGGCAGATCTACGACGAGAGCAATAGAGCGATGGTTGACACATGCTAGAGTGGCGAAGAGTCATGCATGCGCAGGCAAGCTGCTGATCATGGGTGACTTTAACCACAAGGAGGAATAGATTGGGAAGAACTTGGACCCACACATGGGGGCCAAGATATTGAGGGCTAAGATGATGGAGGTGGTACTGGAGAACTTCATGTACCAACACGTAAGGGACACTACAAGAGAGAGAGGAGAGGATGAACCAGCAAGGCTGGACTTAGTATTCACCTTCAGTAGTGCAGATATCGAGGACATCACATATGAAAGCCCCCTTGGGGGCCCAGTGACCATGTGGTTTTTTAAGCTTCGAATACACAGTAGAGCTACAGTGGAGGGAGAAGCAGGAAGGGCCCAGGACGAATGAAGCCAAACTACAAGAAAGGGGACTACACAGGAATGAGGAACTACCTGAAGGGGGTTCAGTGGGACAGAGAACTGGCAGGGAAACCAGTTAATGAGATGATGGAATATGTAGCAATAAAATGAAAGGAGGCTGAGGAGGGGTTGAAACCCAAGGGTAACAGGAGTAATGAAAAAGCCAGGATGAGCCCATGTTTACCCAAAGGTGCAGGGAGGCAAAAACCAAAGTGTGCTAGGGAATGGAAGAAATATAGAAGGCAAAGGACCCAGAGAATAAGGAAAAAACATCGTAGAGCCAAAAGAATATGCACAGATAAGAAGGGAGGCCCAAAGCAATATGAAATGACATAGCAGCGAAGCCAAATCTGACCCGAAATGTTTGTACAGCCACATCCAGGAGGAAAACAACAGTCAAGGACCAGGTAATCAGGCTAAGGAAGGAAGGAGGAGAACAACAGGAAATGACCGGGAAGTATGTGAAGAACTCAACAAGAGATTCAAGAAGTGTTCACAGAGGAGACCGAAGGGACTCCAGAAAGACGGAGAGGTGGGGCACACCACAAGTGCTGGACACAGTGCACACAACCGAGGAAGAAGTGAAGAGGCTTCTGAGTGAGCTAGATACCTCAAAGGCAATGGGGGGCCCGATAACATCTCCCCATGGGGATTTAGAGAGGGAGCAGAGGCGCTATGTGTACCCTAACAACAATAATTTAATACAATCTATCGAAAACAGGGAGATTGCCTGAGGGATGGAAGACAGCAAAGTAGTCCCAATCTTTAAAAAAGGAGACAGCATGAAGCATTAAACTACAGACCAGTGTCACTGAATGTATAAATATGCAAAATCATGGAGAAGATTATCAGGAGAAAAGTGGTGGAACACCTAGAAAGGAATGATCTCATCAACAGCAGCCAGCATGGTTTCAGGGACGGGAAATCCTGTGTCACAAAACTACTGGAGTTCTATGACATGGTGACAGCAGTAAGACAAGAAAAGAGGGGGTGGTGGATTGCATTTTCTTGGACTGCAAGAAGGGTTTGACACAGTTCCACACAAGAGATTGGTGCAAAAACTGGAGGACCAAGCAGGGATAACAGGGAAGGCACTAAAAATGGATCAGGGAATACTTGTCAGGAAGACAGCAGCGAGTCATGGTACGTGGCGAGGTGTCAGAAATGGGGCACCTGTGACCAGCGGGGGCCCGCAGGGGTCAGTTTCCCAGGGCCAGTGCTGTTTCTGGTATTTGGGGAACGACGACGGAAGGAATAGACTCTGAGGTGTCCCTGTTTGCAGATGACGTGAAGTTGATGAAAGAATACACTCGATCGAAGACCAGGCAGAACTACAAAGGATCGGACAGGCTGCAGAAACTGGTCCAGCAATTGGCTCCTGGGGTTCAATCCACCAAGTGCAAAGTCATGAAGATTGGGGAAGGGCAAAGAAGGCCGCAAACGGAGTACAGTCTAGGGGGTCAGAGACTACAAACCTCACTCAAGGAAAAAGATCTTGGGGTGTAGTATAACACCAGGCACAACTTCTGAAGCGCACATCAACCAAATAACTGCTGCAGCATATGGGCGCCCTAGCAAACCTCAGAACAGCATTCCGACATCTTAATAAGGAATCGTTCAGGCCCCTGTAAAACGTATACGTTAGGCCCATATTGGAGTATGCGGCACCAGTTTGGAACCCACACCTAGCCAACACGTAAAGAAACTAGAGAAAGTGCAAAGGTTTGCAACAAGACTATCCCAGAGCTAAGAGGTATGGCCCTACGAGGAGAGGTAAGGGAAATCAACCTGACGACACTGGAGGACAGGAGAGATAGGGGGGACATGATAACGACATACAAAATACTGAGAGGAATTGACAAGGTGACAAAAACAGGATGTTCCAGAGATTGGGGCACAGTAAAAAAGGGGACACAGTTGGAAGCTAAAAGACACGATGAATCACAGGGATGTTAGGAAGTATTTCTTCAGCCACAGAGTAGTCAGTA